GTAGCAATTATGCCCAGCATGTGCGATATTTGGGTCTCGCCCGATGTGGTCATCACGACTTCACTGACGGGCGGACTGCCCGACATCGTGATCGGAATGCCCATCGCATAGCTCCAGTCGCAAACGCTGGTGCCAACAAATTCGTGGACGAAATGACGTGTCCTTGCAAACTATATTCTGCGAAGACCCGGCAGTGCACGCAGCTGGAGACATTTTGCGAAGCACTGCTTTTGTTGGCGCTGTGTGGCACGCAACTGCCGCAAGTGAGATGTGACATAAGCCGTATTGCCGTAGTACACAATCGTCGTTGCTTTGTTCTTTGCATGTTTGTTATCGTTTGTGTAGATGCTCGATGTATATGGCAATGTGGTTATTAGCATGTTTCACGCTCTGACCGTAACACTTGGTCGTTCAAGGACAAGCCTCTCTGGCTTGCTGCTTGGTGTCGTCCTGCCCTGCACCTACAAATGCTTTCGGACCTTCGATGTTGTTGGCTCCGGACGGGCCCGACAAGCATCACCAAGGCGGCAACCGCCCTGTCGCTTGTGAAGGACGCATTTCCTTTGTTTTTGTATCACTCGTAGGTCTCGCGCCGGCAGGTTGCGAGGTGGTTGTTCGTTTTGGATGCTTGCAGAAACACTCCGTGTTAGCAAGGAGGCGACAAAGCTGACTTTTTTTTCTGTCTTGTCCTCCGGCTTATACCCTTGCCCATGCCATTGCGTGCAACCACGTCATCTCCTGCTGCCCTCTTATTGATTAGAACCCTCCCACCGCATCCGGTGGGGGTTCCGAGCAGCAGCGTCTGAATCAAGTTGGGACCACAGGCTGCGAAGCCGGAGCAGGAGGCTATCCTTCGCGCAAACGTCGGGTTGGAGGCAGCTGCTGGGCCGACTGGCTATGCAATCAATGCTTCCTGCCAAGGTGCCGCGGTGCAGTGGCATCCAGCGAAGTAATTGTGCGGATGACCTCTTTGAACGACGTGCTCTTTGCGACAGGGTAGAGCCAGCCTAGAAATGTAATGAGGGCTACTGCGGCACTGAGCTCGCAGACAGCCATGAAAAGGTGGGCCAGCAGAGCCGCAACTGCAGCAGGCCAACGCGACCTCCAGGCGTGCTGCGTGCCGGGCGAGAGTTGGCCACTACCATCCAGCAGGAGAGTGGCATTGTACCGGACAAGTGTGAACGAAACGCAACGAGAGAAGGCCGCATCTTCGGCTTGCGAGTGGGAGGAGGGTGCTTGCAGGCAGACCGGGCATGCAGCCGCCGGGAGGCAGAGCAAACTCCGGTGTGGCCCCGCACGAAGATGGCGGGGAGGGCACCTGTATGGGCGTGCTGAGGACGCACCGCACGGGGCCAACGGCGTACGGGCACCATCGAGTGAACGAGGTGAGGGGCTGTGGGACAAGGCCCACACCACCCAGTGCAATAGGACACAACGCACGGCTTCACTTCAGAGCCACGTTCGGGTGCAAGTCGCAGCCAGCGGCGGACGCAGTCAAGCAGACACGCTTGGGTTTACAAATCAAACACACCACAAAATGTCGACATGGAAGTTGCGGTGCGTCGGAAAACACTTCGCACATAGATTTCGAGCATGCCTTCATTCGATGACCAGATGTTGCCAAAGCTCTTCAGTGGAACAGACGTCTGGCTGTTAGCTAACCAAGCCAGAAGTTTTGCACAATTCCGCCGTTCGCAACTTGGAGTCCAACAAGTCCGAGAATACGACCTTGGGACATAGGTTTTCGGCCCGACAAGTGGCAAATGTCATCATTGATACATCGAACTTCTGGCTTACTTATTCGGGTGCTGAGTTTGGATCTTTCCATCGCGTTTGGCCCCCATGCATGCTTGGAAACAGGATGCATTAGGAAGCCAAGTCACAGCTCTGACAGATCTGCCTCAGCTGCTGCGGTCCCGCAAGCTTGGACATGTTAAGATCAATGGTTGTATGCTTGCGACAAGTCGACGTGTTATTGATGCCACTGATGCCAGATCGAGCGGAGATTGATGCAGACACATGCATTGAGGCCCTCGAGGTCTTTCATAGCACTTCCACTTGTCCATGTGTGGTGACCAGGCCACAGATGTTCAATTGCGTCTCAAGCGTTCCGAGCAAAACAATGGATTTTTGTGACAAGTATGTCCCATCGTCACGCCAGGTCAAGTGAGTCGAGGCCACGGTGGCACCGGTAGCATGATCATCTTCGCAAGATGGATTCCGAATGGCGACATTGGCTCAGAAGCATGGTAAGACCCCTTTCGGGACGTGCTTCGTCTTTGCCTTGGCATGAAATACAGCACGAATAGAACCAACATGTCCAATTGGTCTCGAGACTGTTAGCACATGCAGCTGGGAGCAGCTGCATGCTTCAATCCAAAAGTTCTACATGAACTGGACAACGATGTGATGTCAAGCTGAATCGCAGTTTGACGGGGTGCGTAATTGTGATTCTCAGTTTTTTTGCTTGTTCCTGCAAGAAGCCGCTTAGTGGGGCGCAATACTTGACTTTTGGCGCGCGAGCTGCAGGTTGTCAGACGTGGCTCGACTTGATGTCTAAAAAGCTTTGCAGCGATTTGTTTTGAAAGGCACTTACGGCTAAAGGCTCAGCATCAGGTAACATGATTTCATTGGTTGCATGTGGCTACACAGCCGCAGATCCTTCCAGCCCTGGTGCGTGTCAGGCCGAGTTCTTTCGGGTACAATCTAGTCGGGCGATCTCCGCCACCTCCAGTGTTGCGCTCACCGACGTGCAGCATATTATGTTCATCCCAAAGGTTCGTACCAAAAGGGCTCCCTGAATCAATGTGGTTCGCGATGGTCCTGCCAAGAACATGTCGGGCCAGAATGTCCCGTAATGACTTTCGTATACGTGTCTGAGTCGCTGCTGCTAGGATGGCTTTCTGGCCATCACTCCCAGTTTCACGGCGACGATCCGCTTCTTGATTCTTGATCTGTGGCAATGATTGAATGTTGGTGCTGCCCACAGCACCGGACAGATGTGCTATTGCTGGGAAGCCAGTGGAGCACTCGCGGGTTCGTGAGATTTCGTGAGGCAGTGCACAACACGCACGGCAACGCTCTGTGTTTTTTCAAGGTGATCTCGCGCGAAGCGAAGGCAGACTGCGCGCTATCGCCAGGGGCCTTTCGAAGGCGGCGTAGGCGACAGCGTCGTCGTCGACAGCCAGCTGCGAGAGAGAGAGAGAGAGAGAGAGCAGCAAAAATTATCAACTGAGTTCGGAGGGGTGCAAGAAGCAAAAATCGTTCCAACGACCTTCGAGCTCAAGGGCGAGAAAAAATTCCTTGCACCTTCACCTCCAGGTGTGTGGCCGGCTCGGCGACCGGAATCGTTTCGGCCGAAGTCATAGAGAGACCGTGTTGGTGGCAACCTCAAGCCGAGGCCCGTCGCGACTTCAGTGCTGCTCGTCCGCGATACTGGCGAGACGATGGATGTCATGACGAATGGGGTCTTTCTTGTTTTGCGTATTTCTCATGACAATCTCTGCTACTGTAACTTCCACAAGCTTAGCGATGTGGGAGAAGGCGCTGTTACAATGTGCAAACAAAGCTGACGCTGGGGGCACTTCCTTACTCGGCAAGAACCATCTGGTTGCGTCGGGGGGGGGGGGTGTTTCAATATCAGACCAGGCGAAACAGTGACATATTAGGCGTGTAAACTGGCAGAAGATCAAGTCGAAGACAAGGATGGTACACCGTGATGATCGAATCAACCGGGAACCGATGATGGATTCAGCACGGTGGTCTTGGGGTGGGCAGCCTGTCGAGGTTAACGATCGGGCTTTGACCGGTCTCTGCTGCTCTGCACTGTTATCACTGTTCTTCTGTTCTTCTGCCTCTCAGGGCCTGCATTCTCCCAGACTGTGCTGTGCAGCTTGCATTCTCTGCTGTGGCTGAGACACGCAGCTTTTTCACTCGCGTCTTGCGAGCCTCTCAGTCGCTCGAACCTTTGCTCGAGATCTCTGCCGTGCGAGCTCACGAGCTCTGCTTCACTACACGATTTCCGGGCGCCCTCAGCCAGCCTGGGGCAGACACTGCTGGGCCAGAACAAGAAGGGCATGCCCTGCCCTGCCCTCGTTCTCATTTTGGTTAGCAGATGCCCCATTCTGCAGGAACTCACGCTTCGACGCCTCCTGGTGAACCGCTAAGCCATCGGGCTGCAGTCGGCATTGAAGAGTCTTCCCCCTGCACAGGCGGCTCAATCCTACCTGGACCTACCTTTCGACGCAGATGCACGGGCGAGGCTGCACCCCAACTCGCTCGAGCAGTGGCCCTGTGACAATCCGAAACACCGAAACACCGGTGCCTCAACATGCTGAAGGTGTTTGAGAAGACCTCAATGCACAGCGCTCAGCACAAAAGCTGTGTTCGACATTCTTACCACAGAGGGACCCACCGCTCAGCCCTGCAGAGCTTACATCCGCAAGCCAACTCAGTATGTGCGAACGTGCCTGAAGCCTGGAAAGCCAGGAAGACATCTCCCAACATCATGTACAAAGCGCTAAAGTTTAAGCCAAAACCAAACAAAAACACCTGAGCCGTGTTAGTCGGCACTAGATTGAGCTTACGGAAACTCCGAAACCCCCGAAACCTCTAATAGGACATCTGAGGACCTCTGGGCACTCGGGCCAGCTCTAAGCGGCCAGCTGTCAGCACTCCGGATGTTCCCTCGCAGGGACCATCCTGGGCCTCTTCGAGATTCGGATGCTTCGGACATGGGACAGGGCTGTTTGGGGAAGACTCAAAAGTGGCGAGGCAAAGCTGAGAATCGGAGCCGGAGGCCATGGGCGGCTGCAAGGTAGGTGACAAGCGCAAAACTTTATCCGATTATCCAGTAGGCGTTTCCATCACCCTCGTGCTGTTCGCTGTTCACGGCTCTGCTGCTTTCTTCGTCCCAGTACATGATTATCATCCTTGAACTTTCAAAGTCGCAATACCGGAGCATGGATGGAACAATCACGTTGGAAAGGCTATGCAAAGGCCTGGTGCTGTTCCACACGCTGAAGCTCCTGAGGGGCATCACCTTGAAGGAGGCTGTGGCAAATGCGCACTCCACCATTAGCCGCAGAACAAGAAGCAAGTGTCAAGATGCTCCTCAACCCTTCGTCTCTGCATGGCCTTCTTTTGCAGTTGCGGGCGTGAACATTGCAACCTTGGCCAAGAGCTCAAGGTCTGGCAACATGTGCAAAACAAACAGGCTGGGAGCTCGACGAAATCGACAGTGTAATTGCTGAGGATAAAATCCCACTGGATCGAAGTTCCTGCTTCAACGAGACTTCTCTTGATGTCCTGAGTCTGGCCAGATGCCCGGCCTTCTGGAACTTCCACCACCAATCGCTCTCTGCTTCGTGCAGCGACCTATGCTGCGTGCTGCAACAGACGATCAGTGCAAATACGTGTCAGCGGATGAGTAAGCACAAGAAGAGGACCCCCAGTGAATCTGCATTCTAGGAGCCCCCCTTGGGCACTGAAAGGCGAAGGCCTATTGCATCCGAGACCTGCAGTGGACACCTTCTAGCCCTGAGCACCCGGGCAGAGATTTCTCCTCAGCTGCGAGCATGCGCCGTCCCACCACGAATCCCAACACCCCAAACAGTGTTCGACGTTTGGAGTCACGGCTCAGACAGAAAGAATCTGCCGTCGATGCATAACGAGCTGATGCACATGAAAGCAGGAGTTGAGCTCTAACTCTAAAGCCTGTGCAAAGCCACAATATTCGAAATCTGAGGATCGGTAGCTCTCTTCGAACTCGGCACCGACGAGGAAGCGGAGATGGGTTGCCTGGTCGTTTCCACTCGGCACTTTTCTGCGGGTATTCAACTACAACATGGGTCCTCGCTCGTGTTTCGGCGCCGGCTGCAGGCGTTCGTGAAACCCTGATTAGCATGTCGGGGTTTTAGTCGCATCGTGCAGGCTATGCACAAAAATACGCTGTTCTGTATTCTGACAACAAGTTTCCGAGAGTAATCCGGAGTTACCATTATACTCTTCAGTCTATGCTTCACATCTTCATTCTTCTGCCAACTCGTGTGACCAGGATGGTGGCATGAGCATGAGCAGTACCTTCCCCCACTCGAAAGCCTGCTGAGGACCGTGATGGTCGTGCATGGTGGTGGTGGTGATCCTGATGATGGTTGTGCTTGTAGGCGAAGGTAGGTCAGCTGAGGATCGTGGTGGTCGTGCATGGTGGTGGAATTGCAGGTTGGGGGATTGTGTGGATAAGGAGTCCGGGGATTGGTGAGGGTTGTCGGTGGGATAGCTGAGGACTGGTTCTGGGGCTTCCGTGGAGGATGGCGGTGGGGTGGGGGGTTGGTGGTAGGCTGGTGGGGTGGGTGTTGGTGGGTGTTGGCGGTGGTGATGACGATTGTAACTGGGGGAAACAAGTGTTCTGCGCTAGGAATTTGGCTTGGAAGGCTCATCCCGATTTGATCTGTTCTGCATACCATGCGGAATTTAGGATGATTCAAGGCTGCTGGCCTTGAACTCCACCTGCTTCTGGAAAAAGTGGTCTCCCACGCTCAATGAAGACAGCTTCGTCAGTGCCTGAACTTCTTTGAGTTCGGGGGTTCGGGGTTTGGAGCGTGATCTCTAGCTTGCCCTTGGAGGCTACTGGCCCAGGAGGGAGCGCTCACAAGGCATCATGTTGTTTCGGCAATAGCAATGCCATTCGCATCGGAAACAAGGTACGTATGCCCAGTTCGTGGACATGAACCGTCTCAATCCCGCTCTATTTCATCGCCGTACCTCCTGCGCCAGGCTCGGGCGGCCCAAGGCGTAGTGCGAGTAGGCCAGGACCAGATGGCAAAAGTGGAGGCTACCTCCCATCCAGCGCTGTCAATCTGCCTGTGGAATCTGGTTTCCCCGGCGCCTGCTTCCTGATCCCACCTTGAAGTTGCCCAAAAACCCTCAAGGCCCACAGGCTCTCGCCTGTTTTCAAGCCGGCCATGGTCAGCTCAGGCTGCAAAGCCTTGGCCCGTCAGGTCACCGAGATGTCGGGTCAGGCTGATACTTTGCTTTCCAAGGAGCAACACCTTCCCCGGCCAGGCGCAAAGCTTCATCCCAGTCTTCCGACTGGCGCATCGCCTCATGCGACACGCCCCCATCACCACTCCCGTACTGCTTCATCTTCCGACAGTGCACCCAACGAGCGAGCCCTCGTCAAACCTCGATCCCGGCAGATCTTCGCTGCATCCGGCACCCCTCGCCTCTGCCTGGATGCAAAGGGCCATGCACCGACCTGGGCTGTGCTGAGGTGGGGTTGCAACAGCGCCTCGCGCGCCGTATGCAGGGATATCGGAAGTATGTTGCTGCATGCAGTGTGATCGGAGTCGTTTATGCAACTCATGCAGCAGGATGCCATGGACGTCAAGCTCGTGGTTTTGGATGCATGTGACGGGCACTGTCTGGAAAGCCGAGCAGCCATCTGCGTCTTCGTGCTTTTGTGCTTCTTCTTGCACCATGTGAAGGAACTCCTGTTATACGGCTTTGCAAAGCCTAACGTCTGCCAAGCACCTCAATCCCCAGCTAAGAGTAACACCCCTAACAAGTCTACCACAGTGGCAAAACAGTCGAAGAAGCAATACGCAGGGTGGTAGTCATCATGGAAGGACTTTCTCCACGCAAAGCTCCGTGCAGGCTCTACTCCTGGGCCGCCGCCGGTTTCATGAAGTTCACCCCACGGTAGATGCAGGAGATCTGCACACGAAACACACTGGCACTTCGCGAGTCGACTGAATCAAAACCGCCTCGCCCTCGCGCTCACATCTAGCCATAACTCTTCCCTTCTCAGAGAAAGATTGAAGGAGTTGATTCGTCACAAGCTCCAGGCTTCAGGGTTGGAAGCGCACGGTCCATGGCTGCAAACATCGGCTTTGACATGCTTTGACGGATAGGGCATGAGTCTGGAACGTGTGAAGCACGACAGTGTGACCGAAAGCCGTCTTTACAGATGTCTGGAGCAAGAGAAACCACCAAGCCGGCCTTCTGGTACAGCAGAAGAATCGGGCGCCAACTTGTGTTGCCGAGCTGATCAGAGCCGGGCACCTCTTGAGAATGCTTGCCAAGCAAATCGTTGTCTGCCGTGTTTTTGGCGGGCATAGGTCGGGAACCGATTCTGACAGCCCAGCAGAGCCAGGTGAATTCGGAGCCTGCAGATCCCGAAAGGGAGTTCCACAGCACCCAATCAAGTCTTTGCCTCGTCCTCGTCAGGCTCTGCCTCCGGATTACCACCTGGTGGCAATCCCCTCGAAAACTGCAAACAGAGACTGCTGCAAATCAGACCTCAATTTGCCTAATCAGTTCTGCCAAAATTCCGTGTCCGTTCATGCAGGAGCTCTATCTTCACTTCCCCATCGCCGTGTTCATGGAGGGCCTTCGTCACCTGCTGAGGAGCTTGTAGCGTTCACCTGCAACTCAGAAGAACTCAACTCCCAAAACAAACAATACACGCGAGTAGGCGCCTGCGCTTGGCGATGTGCAGCTTCTGCTTGACGGAGCGACCTTTCGTCGGAGCGAAGGTGAGAGTTCTCACGGGTCAGCACGGTCGATACCAGCGACATCAGCACATCGGCACTCTAAGAGCGCGTCATACGATCAAGGGGGGACCACTTTTTCTTCTCCTGACCAACATCTAGCAGAATAACCCTGAGCACATCAGAACATGTTGCTGACGTATCGACGAGCGTTGTCCGGCTCATACTCGCTCTGCTGTACAAAGCTGCATGACAGTCAAAAGGCGTTGGTGGCCGAAACCTCTCACATCCTACCCTCAACCTGCGAAGCACTTTGCGTTGCCGGCACGCCTCGCGATAAGACCGACACAGGGCCAACCTCGTGACTGATGATCGGCCAGTCCGACCAGATTGAGCACCCGAGGTCAACAAACACCACTGCAAGATCATTCTCAAAAAGGGATACATATCACCGAGATATGCGGCAGGTTGATGCCCTAGATGACTTTGAAAGGCCACGGCTCGCGAGCGAACTTGACAAAACCCACATTCAGCAAGCAAACCTGGGTTCCTCGCATCTCAGCAGCGCGCTCCTCGCTAAATGCAGCTTTTCGGCGCTTGGCCGGTTTTGTTGGCAACAAATGCTGAAAGCAGGTTAGCATGACATCTGCAAGAAAGCTGGACAACTTCGCTCAGGTTCCAACTTCGCATCCCGCACGGATATAGCAGAGGTGAGAGTTCAAGGACAATGATGGACACAAAGCTCGCCTGTCGCAAGACCGTGCAAGACCTTCTCTGGTAGCTGCAGACTTCCTCGTGTGGAAGCAGGACTCAGAAACAAAAAATCCGTCCGGAGGCTCTGCGAAGTACCCCGCCTTCCCACAGAACGGTAAACCTTCACCGCGTCCCTCGCAGCATGCTTGGTGAACAGAACAACTGATAGCATCTGTTTGTTAATTGCCACAGCCTGACCATCTTGGCCGTAAGTGGTGAACCCGTCGGCATGGACAAATACCACCGATCTACACAATCACAATTCGCAGTGAAGCCCTGAATTGCCATGGTCAGGCATGCTTGAGGTCAACGCGAAAACGCATCACCAGCATCTCTCCAGCGGAATTGGCTCAGCAAGAACCTTAATCGCATCAAGTCTGGCGTGCACATCACTGTGTTCTTCTAACTGCTCTTCGCAGCATGTTCGTGTAGGGAGGAAATGGGCGGAACATGAATCCGGATGTTTCGATCAACGGGCGCACGGGTGGAAGTTATCATGGGTTTTGGCATGGACATTCGGTATAATGTTGCTCTTGTGAAAACGCACAACATGTCCACGGTGAGACTGCTCGTCAGCAGCATTTTCAGCTGGACTGGCACATAGAAAAGACAAATCCTCGCTGTCAAGCAGAATAAAACGAGAAACGGCACGGAACAAACATGTACTGTGGAAGATCCTCTGCTGCGCTCTTCATCCCCTTTTGGCAAATGGTAGCAGGATAGGATGAACCTTCCCAGCCTAAATGAGAACGACGAATTTCGAGCTCCAGATCAGCATTGCATTGCGATGGACTCCAGAGTCGACGGACGTCCCAAAAAAGATGCAGGAATTCAAAAGAAAACCGGAGCAGAAATCTGTGGCGAAGCCGCAGTATGCACTCGGGCAGGCAAAGTTGGCCGACGTCACAGCTGAGCCCTAGTGAGACGGACCTAAGGATGACGTGCCACTGCGAAGAGGCTCAGTGTGGACAAACTGGCCGCATCGAGCGCCCAGCACAAAAAGGCAATATCGATGGGCGGGTCCCACGGCAGAGCAAGGGGCGCTTCTTCCCCAAGCAGCTCACGCAGCTCGGATCTGGAGGGCTGAGGGGGCCCCATCGTTTGCACGGGCGGAGGCGGGCCACTGTAGAGGTCCCACCGACCGGCCTTGATCCTTTTGGCTTTCTGCTAGTCCTGAAGCTCGACTTCTCGAAGCTCCATCAAACTAAGAGGCTGCAAAAGACGGCAGGCGCGAAGAAGTAAGCAGTCTCGGGATCCCTTGTTGTGGCGCTGAGCCCTTGGGATAGTATGGAAGTCCTTGAGACAAGCAACACAAGTCGCATGGAAGGTGTGTAACCGGCTGGACACGGCAGGCTGTGTCGCCTGGCGACATGTGCGCCAAGGTGTTTGCGCAAGCGGAAACGGGAAGGGCAGAAAGGGCACGCAAAGGGCAAAGGATGATTGCGACAGCAGTTTCAGGAGCGGCATTGCTCTTTTGTGCAGTCCGGGTATGCCATTCATCTAGGTCACGCTGACATTGCTTGATGGCTGTGTTAATTTGCCGTCGCCATGACCATGTCCTTGTCCACCCTTCTGAGACCGCCATGTGCTCTTGTTGCCTCCCACTGAATGCCCGTGGTGGGACTGGAGAAGTCTTTCGTCTCTTCGGGACGGAGGCAGGCCAGAAGCCAGTGAAATCCGCCGTCTCTTAGGGTGCGAAGCACAACGCACAGCCTATACAATGGAATTAAAACATGACTGCCCATGAAGGCCCGATGAATAGACGACCACAAGCATCTGGGGACCTCCATCTTCTTGGATCTGCATCAATGGAAACGAACTGCTGATCGCAATGGCAATCTAGTTCTCTGGCTTCACATGGAGTAGCGGCAAAGTACTGGCAATCTAGGAGTTCCAACAACGGATGCACTAGCGGCTTGGGGGCATCGATTCTGCGCGAAGAACCCAGACAGTGGCTCGGTACATTTCAACCCGTGGGCTTGGTGCTTATCACCAAGCAGTTGTAACAGCCTGCAAACCAAAGCTCGGGCGAGAAGAGCAAAGATGCCATAGTCTGGCAACCCTGAACCTTCCTTCCTTCGTGGAACCGAAGCAACCTTGAAAAAGATTGGGATATCGCTTTCGTCTGGGCCCTCCGACGTGGCCCGCCGGACGTTCACAAGGAAAAGGAATGCCGGAAGGTTTTGAACAGAGGCTCCTCGGCTAGCACTTAGCTCAACAATTTATATCATTGCGCATCGCTTGGGCAAAACTACACGATTCAATTTGCTTTGGGGTCCATGCTAATCTCATCCAGCTCGGCAATGGCACCTGGCCACATGAGAACTGCAACATGCTGCTCACGCCTGTCCAAGGAAAGGGGGAGAGCTGTAGCCCTCGTCCACGCGATCTTTTGCAAATGTACGCGAGTGAGGTAGTGCGCTTTGCGCGCTTGCAATAAAGCTGGAGCCTAAACCTATGAGATGTTGGAGGTGAAGGATCTGCCTCGCATCGCTGTGAGCGGTATATCTTATCTACGCGTGCAGGGGCCCGATCCTTCGCCTTGTGCTGGAGCCTACGGAGGAGTTAAACTGCCCTTCGCAAGGCAGCTGACACAGAAGTTCTCTATCGTTCCGCAGCTCGCAAATTTTAAACAAAAACACCACTTCCATGTCAGCTAGGAAAAGCAAAAACAAAAACAAAGCATGAGGCCCATTGGGCCTAAATGGGTTGTAAGCTGCACCAATTTGAGTGTCAGCTTCGGGCCTAGGCTTCGCTGGCCTTGCTCGTGATCTAGCCCAGAGGATCCCGAGTCTGCTGTGCAAGCTTCTGTTCGTTGACCTGCCTGTGCTCCTGCAGTTGCCGTAGCCACCTCGCATGAAGCAAAGAACAGACAGGATGTCCAGAGACACTTGAAGCTCCGTGTATTACAGACGTAACGGTGCAATCTTAAGGTCGGCTCCGACTCGGCTTCTCAGCTGACCGGACAAGAGGGCTCGTCCATGCCGCGCATCACCATTTCCAGGGCTCGCCTGCAGTCGCCACGCCGAAGTCATCAGACGGAGCGAACACGACTCCAGCACGCAAAGCCGAGAAAAACGATGGGGAGTACGACAATCACCGAGGAGCTGATGCATGCCCTCGACGCCACCCGCTGCAGAAAGCGAGATCTGCATCCCAGGAAGGCCGGGGATGAAGATGCGGCTTACCTTTGTGCTGAGCTAAAAAGACAGCTGCTGCTGAGAGCAACTGGACATTCAGGCGGCCGAGGTTATCTGCTTCAGCTCGGGCAGAGCCTGCACCTGGCATGCCGTATGACAGAGCGCAGGTGTTCAGTGCGGCAAACTAATTCTCCGAAAAGCAGTGTGCCTGCAGCTCACGGCTACTGTCTCTTCCAGCAAAAGGCCAACACAAATGCTGGGTCTTGCATTTCCAACTAAGGGGCAATCATTCTTGATCACTTAATGGATTACCTCCAAGAGACGAATCCGTTCAGGCTATAGCCTTGAGGATTTATCGCGAGGGTCTGCCAACACGGGTAAGGTTCTGCCAGAGGAGCTTCTGAATGGATGGATGGGATCCAACAAAATTGTCACTTTGGAAAACTAACTAAACGTCAGGACTTCTGAGAACAACAGGCTGCGGACGGCCACCATGCTCGTTGCAAGTGACCCCACGCCTCCTCCTTCAAGCATGGTCGCCAGAGTTCAGCGGGCGTCGCCTGCAAAACAAACGTCTGCAGGAATCATGATCATGGGGATGACGATGAGCAAGATGATGTGACAGAAACAACGACGACGAGGATGACGAGGATGGCGATGATGGTGACAGTTCACGTTGATGATGGTGACGGTTCACGTTGATGATGGTAGTTATGGTGGTGATTGTGCTTGGGAGGTCTACAAGGCTTACATACGGTTGCTTGCTTCTGTGCAAATTCCTTCCGTGGCCCTCGGTCTGTGGGCACTGTACATCTGTGGACCGGTGCTGCGTGGCGTGCAAGCACGACAGACGTGCAACTGTTAAAGCAAGAACCAAATTTTGCAGAAGCAGTAGCCTGAAAGAGAAGGATGCCCCATCGGTAAGGAGCCACTTCCTGAAGCAGACAGGCTGCGCAAATTCAGCCGCAGTCGTTTACTTGTTCAATTTCGGTGCTAGGGAAAGCCTCCACGCGCACATTGGGCGTCTCTTCCAGCTGCACACGCTCGTCAGGTGCCCATCCGTCCATTGGGCAATACCGCGTGTCCTAGCCACGTCACTCAACTCGAGCTTTCAATGCCCGTTTAGTACAGCTAGTCGCTTTCTGGGCTGCAGATGACATCATGAAGCCTTTCCAACCTGCTTCACTGACTGCAGGCCTTGCTGCTCTTGAAGACACATGCTTCCTCAGATCTCGCAAGCGAAGTCAGGAAGTCTCCCCTCGGACTACACACTTTGAAGAATGCAGGCAAGAGGCCGCTCCTGCCGGACCGGGAGCTGTCTGATACAGTCCCCAGCCATTCTTTTCTTCCCACTTAATGAGGAACGGCACACCGTCAGTCTCGGTTGCGACACGGCTGAAAACGCTTCACAGAATTCGAAGTCCCAGCATGGTTCCTTCAACAGCATATGTAGCCTCTAAGAACGAAATGAACCGAACGTGTCACAACTTGCCTAAAGCGGCAGTGCCGCACAACACAGCTTTCACTTGCATCCCAGCTGCCCTCTGGTATCGAGGCCTGCAGTGGATTATGCGAAGGAGTAATGCCGACCGAGGATTAATCACGTCATGCTTAGAGACTGATCTGCTCCTTCCAGAACACAAATGCACGCCCAGACAGGCTTGCACTGCCCAAAACACCTAGCAAGTCAGGCATGCTCCAGTGAGTGCTTGGATTGAAACGTCAAAATGGCAAGTTCTAAGGATTCTAAGGTCAGGCACACGAGGAAACCTTTCACCAAAAGGCTCAGCCTCAAAGTTAAATGCAGCAAATCTGCCTGCTCGGGACAGGGACCACCTCGTCAGGTGGAACCCCAGCTGCAGCTGCTGTGGCGACAGCGCCACCAGCCTCGCCGGCCCCATCCGCCTGGCCACCACCGGCCGCCTCGCCGGGACCGGCAGCCTCGCCAGCTTCTGCGCTCACAGCGGCTGCTTCACCCATCTCCTGAACAAAGCAAGTTGCTGTGGGGGGAGGGTCCACGCAGCCTTAGCTGGTATCTAGGTCTCGACACTTGCATGCCCCGGCCTCGGCTGGGGGAGGCGGAGGTGGCGAGTCGCTCGGCTCAGCCCCCTGTTTAGGTCAGGGCATCGACTAGTGACTAGAGTGCCATTACAATGACTATGTCCGGGAACCTGAGAGCCTGAGAGCTCAAAACTTGACTCAAAGGGCCGCTTGGCCTCGGCCGCAGAGGCTGAGGCTGCTTGCACAGCCGGCTCCACTGGAGAGCTGGATTGCGCAGCCTCCGGATCTCCACTCAGACGGAGCAACCAGGCCGTCAGTGCCAAACTAAACAAAAACTATCGAACATGCGAAACAGAGCAGCGGGGCCCGCAACCCTGAAGAGATGTGGCTCCGCTTCCTGTTCAGCATCAAGCTGACCCACAAGAAGAAAGCCTGCTATTCTGCAGCAAGATGGTGCAACAACCGCGACTGTGCAAGTGCTGGATCCTCAACCACCCAAACCACAGCGTGCAACAACACACTACCCAGTCACAATGCAGCCTGAGGCTGGGAAGGCTTGACCTGCGTGTACACGCCATCTGCTGGGCCTCTGAAGCTACACATGGATGCTTGCCGAGGATTCCAAATCGGCTCTTGCAACCAACGACTAACACTGAGACTGATACGCGAGACTATACAGTCCTTACATGTCCGGTCTTGCTGGCTTCATGGTTCCTGCCTGAACCCACCACGCGCAGTTCCTGAGACTCAAGGGCGACTGAAAGGCTGCGGTTTCTGCATGCACGAGAAAAGCGGCCGTCTGCATGAGCGCAAAGAATCCGAATAATGCCATACTGGACAAGTCAAGACAAGGTGCGTGACAGCACAGCTCCTTGAACTCGAACTCCAACGCGAGGAAGGCATATCTCAAAGCTTCCTTAGTGCGGAATAATTGGTGTGCCGTTGCCGTTGTCGTTAATCAGTGGACTGAGCTCTGAACCTTGCATCCATTGAGCAATAGAGCAGCATTTCTCAAAGCAGAGCATGCCCCCCTCCTTTCCGCCACATCTCGGCCGAGGCTCGGTGGGCACGAGCGACAAAGGCGGCCTGGCATGCGTCATAACGCGTGCACAGAACTGACACTTTCAACTCCTGGCATGAAAGGGAGCAAACTGGAATAACATGGTTTGCGGTGTCGGGAGCACAACAAATGTCGGACAGATCGTCATCGAATCAGAAACGGTCTTGCGCCTGCCCTCGTGGTCCAGCGCTGTCACAGCAGCACCACACTCGATCAGTGGCTGAATGGCGCCGTTGGCTGCCAGGGATAGGTGATGGAAGCTGCATGGAGTTCACAGTCTCGCCTACTCAGTACCCTCTTTGACATATTTCAGCACTGTCACTCCAGCGACCCCCATGATTTTAGATGTTTCAACACGCCTAGGAAGGCCGCCCAGTGTAGGGGAGTGAGGCCGCGAGCATCCGCCAGTGCCGGATCGGCCTGCTTCGTTCATGCGCTTTCCCGTGCTTGCACTTAAGGACGATTCGGCCCGTAGACCCTGCTGGTCGCTTCTTGGCACTTCGATGCTTGGAGGCAACTTGCGGCTTGAAGTCCATGCCAACAAAGGCCGAAGTTCACAGACTAACGGGGCACGAGCTTCGTTTACATCAATACAGATTAATGACACACTACCCACCCTCCAAAACCAACCGCGAGTGTCCCAAAAGGGCTTCGAGAAGCGAAATGACACCGAATCATCACGTCACCCATCCATCCATCCATTCAGTCATCCATTCACCCGTCCGCGCAACCCTCGACTACAAACCCTGGCAGATCCTCTTCTGTCCAAACCTCAAACTCTCTAAAAAATTATAGAACCTTCTATCAAGCTGTTCTAGAACGACTTCTATCAACCCTTCTATGAACCTTGAATAAACGCCAGTAAACCTTGTCGAAAAACCTTCCATAAACCCTAGCTTAACCCCCTTTATGTAGAACCCTCTACAGACCCCTTGGAGAAGCCTTCTCATAAGCCGTTTTACGAACCTCGACCGAAATGCTTCCTCCAATGTACTGCGGGGATTTAAGAGCACGGCCAAGCTGCTTCATTGGCGGGATTCAGAGACATGACCAGCTTGCTTCCCCCAAGTACTGACAGGATGAAGCAGCACAGCCAACCTGCTTCCGCCATTACAGGCTGGATTCAGAGACATGACCACACTGCTTCCCTCAAGCAAGCGGAATTCAGGAGAACGGCCAAAGCGGGATTCAGAAACATGACCAAACTGCTTACCCCAAATACTGGCGAGATTCTAACATTTTCGAAGAACGCGCAGCATCAGGACCCAGCGTAATGGAATCCCCAACGGATCCAAAAGGCTTCTCCAGGATTTGGGAGCACTGGCAACATGCTTCCCTTTTGCTCAGCAACATGACGAGCGAATGGTCGCCTAGCCCTGCATTAAAAAACACATTCAATAGGTTAAGCTGAGAGATAGCAGCGGCGACCACGGAAACCTAAAATCCAAGCAACGTCATCGCATCATGCCACCCAAACGAACTCCAAGTGGGAAACCCCTTTACCATGCTGTCGAAAAATGCCAAGACATTCCTTCATTCCCATTGATTCCAGTTTTTACATTCACTTCTCTCGCCTCGATGCAAATCCATCATGTTCGATTCAGTTCCATTCCATTCATGTCCATTCCATTCCAGACAGGCATCGTCTGGAGCCTGCATGTTTTGCTATTTGACGAGGACAACGTCACTGGAGTGCTGAGCCCCCTTCTGTACGACACATCTCTTGCAAAAACCCGAAACGGAATTGCTCCGGCACAACACCTCAGGGCTTAGCATACCTGCCTGTGATCCTACTGCCACCCACCACAGGAGCTTCTATCTTGTCTAGAACAGCTCCAGTACCTGCACTGACTATAGTGATCATACAGAACACGGCTGGGACCCTCTGTGCCTTCCTCTCCAGCAGTTGCCGAACTGACTTCTCACTGCCCGCGACAACGGCATGGTGCAGCGCAGTCCTTGGGTGTGCTCCAGTCCACAGGGTTCTCGGCAGAGCATTTTTGCTTTTGAAAGGATGCTGACCACGAAGATGTCTTGACAGTTCTTGCAAGCAAAGCCTGGTAAGACTAAATCAATTCAACCATGAAAATCTTTTCCATGCTGTTCCCATCTGAAAGAAAGGTGAACCTTGCCGGCAGCCGCATCCATCGACATGTGGCATAACTCGACACGAAGAAGATACTTGTTAGCCATTTAGTCCAGGTTCCAGCCATCCATCCTGGTAGTCAGGAAGGACGGGCTCCTGCACACTGCCGGTCCAACGGCCCCCCTCCCTGAACCTGCAAACGCACAAGTGGTCAAACCCATGGCTCAAGCCTGAAGGTCACCAGGAACCCCAACTCAAAAACCAACATAATGCAATATAATACGATATAATATAATATAGTATAACATAATATGATATAATATACTATAAAAGGAGGTAGTGGTGGCTTGGCGGCCTCAGCACCTCCGGCGTCCCCTCCGGCAGCGAAGCCGCGGCCTGGAAGGCTTGGAAATGATTCCAAATTTAGCGCCTGGGGCTTCGGGGTCTGCCCGGATCTCCGAAAATCTCTGAAAGCTTAGCTTGTAGCAGTAGATTTATGCACTAAGGGCTGGTTGCTAGTCGACAGGATTACAGCCGCAAACTGCGTATATAGGCCACCTACATAAAAATGGGCCGAAGCCCGAACAAACCGAAAACAAAAAGTGCCCTGGAACCACAACGAAAGCGCGGATTCTGGTCCCTCCTTCCGCTTCGGGCAAATTTTCGCGGCCAAGCGGCATCCTCCGCAAGTGGGTCGAACCCTTCTCGGAACTGCACCAAGCGGGGTACCCGCGCGCAGTCGATGCCTGCCCCATGGAAAAAGCTTTCAAAAAATTGGCCTGTCTTCGGTTTGCCTGGCGTTACAACTCCTCAACCAAAACGAGCCATCTTGCCCGAAAACCACGCAATTTTGCCAGCTTGCGTGTCTGAAGCGCTTCAGCCCCTTTTCACGTCAGTGCTGTCAAAGGGCACAGGTCGTAGTCACAGGGCCAACAAGTCCAGTACACCTCGCGGAACTCTCGTTTCCATCACTGTCGCTGCACAGGGACTCTATGACAACTTCCTCTTCGTGGCCTTTGGAGACCCCTATACCCCCGGCGGCTTTGACTGCGTTGCATCTCGAATGAATACTGGTGCAATCGCAAACCAGTTTTTCTTTGCTGTGCCAGGACACCGGGCTGCTGTGGAGCTCCTGCTTTCGACAGCTGTCGCAATGAGGTCTCCGGTGGCACCGGGATTTGCAGAGCCTGGAAGTGTGTCGGTACTGCAAAGAACGTCAATATGCATGAAAGTTTGACAGAGCTCCCACTGTCCATGCTCCAATGTCTCTTACAAGTCTTACAAATGAAGAACTTGCTGCAGACTCAATGATCTCTATCGATCTGCTCAGCGTCTGCTGTTGAAGCAGGGCGTGCAGACTCAGATACCGATGCGCTTACCAAGTCATCATTCTAAGCTCAAACAAATCAGACCCGAAAGGGAGCCCTACCTTTCCATGGAATGTCCCCGAGGACAGAGGACACTCGGAGGCAGTGGCTGCGAGGTGCCTGGCTGTTTGGAGATCAAAACATGCGGGCTACAGCTTCAGCAGAGAAAACGAGCTGAACGCAACCGCTGAGTGCAGTGTTCAACTGCGGTTAACAGAGAGGCCTTCCATGTGCATGAGCAAGTCATCGATCGTTCTCCAGTCCTGACAACCGCTGCTTGCCAGGCAGACCCTGAACTCAAAACTGCATACCTGTTGCCCACAACCCGAATACGAAGATTTCCCTGTTTGCTTGCCCACTACGTCTATCATTCTGACACCCTTAGCAAAACAGCTATTGCTAGTGACTGCTCGGCGTTTTCAACGGTTGCTATGGCGATTCAGCAATTCAGCATCATCTCCTACGATTCTTGTGGGGCTGATGCGATCAGAAATTCGATTTGCGGGGTTGGAGTGCTGTGAAGTGCTAGCAGTGGCTGTGGTGCTGCTGCCGGTGGTGCTCCTCCTCCTCCTCCTCCTGCTGCTGTGGCTGCTGCAGCGTGGCGGCTCATAATGATAATGACCAGACATGAGCATCGTAGGGCTCCTGAGGCTGGCTTCCGACCACTGCCAGCGCCTCGCTGGGGCCGCGGACGGCATCCAACTGGCGAAGCTCGGGGCGAGGGCTCGGGGCGAGGGCTCGGGGCTTGGGGATCGCTGCGTCGAACCCTTTCGCTGTTAGCTCGTGGAGTCACGAAGTCCAGGGAGGGTATGCAGGCTCTATACTTGGACTTGCCACCTCCGTGCCGGCAGCCAGCAGCCGCTGAAGCAGCTCCTGAACCGCTTATTTACCGTGTTGTCGTTCCGTTGAGGTGCCGATCTTCAATTACTTCCTCAGCCTACAACATGCTCAGTGCCCTGATGGTGTTGGAAACGGTTGGGTGTACAGCGAGTATCACAGTTGACAAGTTCCTCTCCCACAGTAGAGTGTGGGGCTTGGGCGTCTTGGAGCTCTCGTTTGCACTGATGCGGATGTCCGCCCCAGGAATGGGTGTGACCTCGGTTGGCAAGCCCAGTTCAGCCTGGTTCAGTTTCATTCAGCTTCGTGTCGCTTCGTATTCATGCAGACCACCCGAGCAGTCCGAACCCACCCCCCCAGGCATTTCTCGTCCTCGTCATCCAGTGCTGCCACAAGCATGAGGGCACCTTGAGGTAGGAGCATCCGGACGCTGCGAGACTCGTAGCGACGGCAGCTCTGGAACATCATGCAAACTTCCCGAAAGAGACCTATGACTCCGTGCATGCTAGGAGACTGGTGCCATCCGCCGCGTTGAGCAACGGCGAAGCACCAAGATCCAGCAAGGCGCGTGCCGCTTCTGCCTGCGTGCAACAGCCACGGCATGGCTTTACATGGCTTTCCCACAGGCAAGAGCGGTAAGATTCTGCTGTGACTGCTCGCGCCTGTGGTCCCACCACTGGCTCTGGCGGCGGCTCGCGGGCCTTTTGAAAGATGGGGCGTGGACTTGGGCCTTCGTGATCTCAGCAGGGCCAAAACCTTCCTGGCCTGGTCCTTCAGCGCCAACCGCGGGGTTGTAGCGCGGCGCAATGCGGCAATCAGCGGCGAGCTGCCACTAGGCCCGGCCTTTTGGCGGTTTTGGCTTCGGGCGTTGTCGTTCCGGGGCTCGGAGTTCGGAAGTACAGAAAGGTTAATCGGTTTCCGGGAAAGTTTAGATATGCCCAAAACCATGATGGCCCTTGATTCTGACTTGCTGAAGAAACAATTCAACAAGGGAGGAGTCCGATGCAAAATTTCTATCAGCATATTCTGGCAGGTTTGAGCGATAAGATGCAACAACTCCGCGCTTCGCATGGCTCACATTTACAAGTGTATGAAATCTAAGGAAAATTGCCTTGACAAAAGGGCACCGTACCTTTCGGAAACATTGATGGTCTTGGCAGGCTGACTGAGTACTCTCTGTTTCGTCGCAACATCTGCCAAAAAACACTGCGTGCGTCTAACTGCGTGCGACATCAGCGCCGCAGCGAGCTCATGTGCTCACCATCGGAAAATTGCTGCACATGAAGTGACAACAGGCCACCCCCTGTGTCCCGCCTTTTGTGCCTTGACCTGCACTTTTCAGCATAAGCCCAGCATAGGCCGTCGAGATGCTGCGTTTCAGAATGTCTCCAGACATTCTCTTCACTTGCCGTGCCTTGCCAAACATCATCCAGAGTGGTGAATCCTATAGCAGAACTGGGCCCCAAAGAGGCAGACCACAGCGCGACATCGGCGGCTCAGAAGCTCCCGGAAGGGAAGTCCAGCAAGCAAGCGACAGCGTCGCTAAGCGTCCCACGTGGCAGGCCCGAACCGTCTGCGAAGTTCAGCGCTGACTGAGGCGGCAAACTCTAGGCAGTGCACCGAGGCAGAAGAAGTTTCGGGTGCGACCAGGGATCAGGGGTCGCGGAGGTCGTTGATCTTTGAAGCCCTGGCAGTCTCACAATGCGTGCTCCCAAGACGGAACACCTGGCGCTCCACAATTATCGAAGCAGAGTAGAACGGGCACGTCTTTGATCTCGCATGGCCGCATACACGGCCTCGCTCAGCCCTCCACCGCCAGTAGTTCGCAGCCCAAAGCCAAACCATGACAGCTTCCTACTGTGTCTGAAACGAGAGATCATGCCGGTGACCAGCCCAGTCAGCATACCATGTGCCCCACATCATCTTCGCATCCTCCGCCGTCGTGACCGCAGCAGCGCGGTCATCAACGAAGATCGATTGCTGGAGCGGATCGTCGGTGCAGCGCTGCACTCGCTGAGCTGCTGTGATGAGCAACGCTGTCAATGCCATTGGTGCAGCCTCAAACATCATCCGGACGCCACCGTTGGTAGCAGGCTTTTGACCTTGCAGCTCGGGCCGGTGACATCCCCCGACATACGAGTACCTAGATGAAGCTTCTCCACTTGTAGTTGCAATGAGGGGATGGTGATCAGCCCAGGCACGAGTCTTGATCACGCACAGCCCTGGCAGAACAAACCTCAGGCGCACAGTGCTCACAGGAGCTTGCTTTGGCATCAAAGCCTACATTCATGAGCTTACAAAAGCTGTCAAAGGGCTTGCCGGTGGTGGCGGTGACCCCGCTGGCATCGATCTCGGAAAGGTTCTGCAGGATCGATAGGACTTCCTTCTTCTTGAGCTCCGACTTGGTGGCGAGCTGGTCGGCAAACTGGTGCGGCGCCGACGACAGCGCCGGCTGTGTGGATGCGCGGTACGTCACAGTCCTAATCGGGACGTGATTCATTGCCCCTGCTTTGGACACTTTGATTCCGCCGATGAAAGCGGCCGCCTTGTCCGTCGACATTGCCCCCCGTTGGTCATGGCTTTGGTGGTCTTCATGGCCTTGGACTTCATGGCGGACTTCATTGTGGTACATTTTCC